TCCTGCCATTTCTTCCTCGTTTGTCAGCGCCGCCCGGCCTGGGAGCGAGCCGGGAGGAAGGGGGCGAGGGGTGCGTGTGCCCGGGGGGGTCCGAGCGCCGGCCCCGCGGGCGCCGCTCCCGGGTGGGGGCAGCTGTGGTAGATAAGGCAGCGGCGCCGCGTTAATTCTGCAGAGGCCGGGGTGGTGGTGGGAGCGGTCCCGCTAAGACGGCTTCCCCCGCCGGCAGGGTGTGGGGGGCGCCCGGACACGCGTGGGGACAGCCGGCCATCTCCGACGCCTGAGTGAGCCTCCCCCTGCTCGCGGGTTGCAAGACAAAGACAATCTAGCGAGGCGGTCTGTCATCTGCCAGCTCCCAAGGTTTGGGTTTGGGTTTTTTATGTTGGATTTTTTTTTTTTCCTCTGGCAGCCCAAATTCACCCACGCAGGCCTGCCCGAGGCAGTCTGTGGGTCCCAGCAGCCGGGCGGGGAGGTGTCCACTAATGCTTTGCTAAAACGGCTCTTTCCAGCCTTCCACATAATCAGTTGTCGACTGTGAAGTGATGAAGGTCAAATCAATTTGTATCCTGCACTTTTCCTTTTCTCTCATCACCTCCACGTGTTCAACATTTTTCTCTGACCAGTCGCGAAACACTAGTTTACGCGGTCTGAGGACAGTGTCAGTATATTGAGCTGCAGGAACTTGGCTAATTCCTTCAAAATAATTTAGAATAACCTTTTCTCACTATTCCTGGCCTGGCCTGATGATAATTTGAAATGCCCAATGCAGATTTAAACCACTGTGGCTTTTGGACATCATCCTGATCAATTTATTAATGCTACTAAATTTTATTAGCAAATACTGAATCGGCAAACGTTTGATTCACTAAAAGTGACTCTGGTTTGTCACTGCAGTGTCATGTGGGAAGCTGTGAATGCAGAGTAGAAATGTAGACTCCTGTGGCAAGAGGGATGTTGTCTAAAATGAAAATGATTGACTGAATTTCTGTTGCTTTATACCACCAGCAATAGCCTGAGGCATGTACTCCCTCCCCACTTTTTTGGGGGGGCAGAGAGTGTATAAAAAATCGGGTTTGTAGTTTATTGGGAGTTACTTTGTGTCAGTAATGTATTCTGGAGCTGGACTTCTCAAGGCCATGTATTTATTATGTTCTGGTTTGTACTCCAGGGAGGCTTGGCTTCCATGAGACCTTAGTCTTATATTTCTTGCAGCATAGTGCACAGCAGTCTCATTCCAGGTCTGTAGTTCTAGGAACCTGTTCATGCCTTTTTCACAAGTGAAATGATGAATGATTAAAAATGTGTCTTATAAAAAGTGTCATCTGGGTTTCTTGACACGCAGTGTAAAAACAGTGAGGATTATATTCAGCTGGTGGAAAGCACTTGAATCAGTTTTAGCAGACACTGAGGACAAAAGATTGTTTTGGCTACTTTGAATAGACAATGTGTTTTCAAATGGAAGCTGGATATTAAAGGATTTTCAAAAATACATCACATACTGCAAAGTTCCAGTGGTGATTTTGTTTACCCTGCCAGCTGAAAAAGCAAACAGGAACAGTATTTTCAGAAAGAGGAAACCAAGGAGGAAAGAAGTACCCACACACATCTTGCACGCAGGAGGCTGCTGCAGGGAGCGTGTTTGTGCTGTGATGAAATACAGGAATGCAGAAACCCTTGTACTTTCTGTGTGAACTGAAGGAGTGAAGAATGTTATAGGGGCATAGGTAGGGCTAAGAGTGGGCAGATCTGTCCTAGAACAGTCTGCTACCAATATGGGTGATTCTCATACAGACACCCAAAATCAGGTTTGTATCTTTCCAGGAGCACCAGGATGTACATAGCTCAGTACACATTGCAGAGTTTGGTAGAAAAGTGCATGGAGGTGCAGTGAGGAACTGCTAACTGTGCTGCACTCATAGGGTAAGCCATGCCCTGAACGACTCTCTGCTCGTTTTCCCAGGAAAAAACTCCACACAGCCTTGGCCTGATCAGTGTTGGGAAGTGGCACCTCAGCCTGATAGTGGTGTGGTGCAGTCAGGTGCCAGCAAGGGGTCAGCACTGTGGTTGAGGCAAGGGTGCTAATGCTGCAGGGGTCCGGGGGTGGGGAGCAGGATGGGAGACCTTTGCAGCCTCCAGAAAGAGATTCTCCTCAAGAAAGGGAGGAGTGACAAAGCCCACCGGCTAGCAGGGATCCTTGCTTCAGATGCTTCTCCCTGTAGAACCTGGGAGAGAACCTGAGAGACTGTGGGAAAATCGTTCTCTTAACAACTCCTTGAAATGCTGACAGCTTGCTGTGTAAATTCGGTCAGTTACCAGGCTGAGGGTCCCAGAGGAGACTTGAGAGGCAGTGAACAGGACAGCAGTGAAAACAATGCATTGGAAACAGCGACAGCAAATGCAAGCGCACGCTAGTCCAGATTTCCCATGCGCTTCTCGATGCTGTTAGATGGGATGGCCCAGAACCAAAATGCCACCAGGCCTCCTGGGTGGCCCCTTCAATCAGCAGACTGGGGAGTGTGCATGGTCCTTCTGCCTGTTACCTCGTATCTCCACTGGCAACACTGTGAAGTTGTGTAGGAAGAAAAATCAGGAAGAAAAATTTCACAAGTGCTGTAATGAAAGCAGAGGTGATGTCAGAGGGAATTTGTATTCCTACCAATATGCTCAGTATTTTCTTTTATGTAGCAGAAAGCATGGATTTTGACAGTTCACTGCAGTGGTTATGGGAATTCCCCTGCATTTTCCTTCAAAAATACAGGCACACGACTGACTTGCCATCCACAGGGAGAGCAGGGGTAGTTCAGTGCTGGGGGCATCTTGCCATTGGGTTCCTGGGCTTGTTCTGCAGCTCTGGACTGTCCTCTTCTGGGGCCGGAGTGTGGATTCGAAGCTCTCACTTCACTGCCAGGAGAAGATGGCAGTTTGAACTTAAAAAGCTTTTCATCCTCATCTTTTTGCTTTCATTCCTTGTTATGCTCTGTGTTGCTTAACAGTTTGGAAACGGAAATCCTGTTTATAAATTATCTGAAGATATAAGAGTTCAAATACAAACCTGAAAACAGTGCAGTAGATTGGAAAATATTGTGGTCATGGCCCTCTGTGTTTTAATGAGGACAAATTCCACCACATTCAGTCCTCTGGCTCATCACTGGCATAGCATTTGATGCGTGTTTCACTGGAGCTTTGTAAATGTGTGCCTGTGCTGATTGACTTGGTGGCTTAGAATCCAAGAGCTGGCTTGGCTGCTCTCCAGCTCTGTTTGATAATGGTTCTTAAAGAGGAAATGCCTAATAGATGCTTGTGAATGAATGTTTCCTCTCTGAGTTTGTTTTTCTTTTTTCCTTTACACAGGTCTCTCAGGCAGCTGCAGAACTCCAGCAGTACTGTATGCAAAATGCCTGCAAAGATGCCTTGCTTGTTGGGGTTCCTGCAGGGAGCAATCCCTTTCGAGAACCCCGATCCTGTGCTCTACTCTGAAATCAGGTAATAAAGTCACAGATTCTGTGATAACAACTCTGATTGGAAACTCAAGCCATAGGAGAGACGAGGGCACATGGTGGTAGTTGTTTGAATGTCAAGTTCTTGGTAGCAAACTGTTCATCACTTCCCTGCTGGCTCTACAATTTGTTTTCTTTTCTTTTAGGTGTGGCAATTGAAGCATGTCTCTTTCCTACAGCTCTTTCTATGAATGTTTTATTTATGAGTTGGTTTTTTGCTTACTTGGTTGGGGTTTGTGTTTGAGCAGCTCTAGGGGTAGTTAACAGTGTCCAAGAAAATTAAGACTGTCATGTGACACACAGTTGCGTTTGACACAGCCAGACATAAAAACCAGTCATGTACCCAGCCTGAAGAAGTGAGACAAAGCCGTGGCAGTTGCATGTGTTTGATGACTAGCTCACAGTGTAAGCAAGAACCTTGTTAAAATACATTTTGTTTTGAATGTCATATTGCAGTTTACTTGGCTGTGTCTGCCCTTAGACTCTTTCTGTTGTTACTGTTGGTACAGCACCGGAAGCGGTGGAAGCAGAGAGGAGCTGAGGCCATGTGCAATCACATCCTATTTAACCTATTTTAAGCACAGGTGTAAAGGAAGAGATACTCCCTAAACTCTGCCTGCCTTAGCTCTCTGCTTTGCTTGTACCTGCGTAACACCTGCAGGGTGGGGGGGTGACCATCCAGTGTCTGCAGGTCTTTGGGACCCAGTTCCATGATTCCCACTCTTCTCTCTCACATCTATCACAGAAGTATCCGTGATTGCAGCAGGAGGAAGAAAGGCCGTGTGTGCTAGCAGTCTTGGGCAGGATCACACAATAACTTTTGTTGGAAAATCTTATTTCTTCTGCATGATGAATGTGGAATTAGGATATTGAGAAGGGCTTACTTTAAAAGAAAAAATAAAAACAGCTAATGAGCTGAAAAAACTGCAGAGGAAGAACCATGGAATTCTGTTCTTTCTGTGAGAGTGCTATCAAATTGAAAACGAATGTTTGCTTTCAGGGCAGAATTTAAAATATAGAGTACTTGTGCAATCTTCCCCTTCCCACTGTCAGGGTTCTGGAGATTGCAGCTGTGCTTGTGCCTCATCAGTACTGTGGTTTTGATTGTTGCTATGTAGGTTTGACAAAATAGGATTGAACCTTAAGAGAGAACTGAGCATGAGATGCTTTTCTGGAAAAAACTTGGCAGGGGGGAGGAAGCACAGGCAGAAGATTTTCTTAATTTAGGTGCTACTCTTAATTGTTCCTGCAAATAAGATAAAACTGATAGACTGTTGCCTGTATTCTTCTGTTATTGAAGCAGCCTTTCTATGTTTTCTTAGTGTCTCTGCGTGTGTATGTTTTTCTAGGATTCAAGTTTGATTGCGTCATCCAGACAGGATACAAAATACTTTCTCAAAAGAGTTTGATGGTTAATTTTTGATACGTTTAGAAGTACATAGCTCAGCCCAAGACGTCACTAGTCATCTTTTGCTGATAGATCAATTATCTAGTTCATTATTATTATGTTATCTTGGGATCATAAAAAATGAGAGCAAAGTTTCAAAGCCAATTACTGTCCTGGTTCAGCTAGGATAGGGTTAAGTTTCCCCAGCAGAGAGGGGGAAGGGATCTCCAGGCGGGTTATTCAGTCCTGCAGCAGTGAGGGAACTTTTTTCCTTTGTGGCTTTGGTCGTGGGGAGCACGGGGCTGTCTGTATCCATTGCGGTATTTCTCTGCATATCTTTTGTCTTGCTTACTGTTATTACTGTTTATTGTTATCATTACTACTGTTGTTCAGATTGCTTATTACGCTCTTGTATTAAATTCTTATTTTAACCCGGGGTTTATGCCCTACTTGTGTCCAAGAGTGGGGGAGGGACAATGGCAAAGTGGTCTCGGGTCCCAGCAGGGCCTAAACCAACACAATTACAAAATTTTATAATATGTCAACATCCAACAAAGGAACGTGGTTATTCGGTTTTACTCATTGCAAACAAGCTTTTGTGTTATAATTTGTAAGAGAAATGTATCAGTTTAGGAAGACAACATTTAATAAACCTTTTCTTCCTCTTACAGGGAAGGTCATCGGAGAGTTGCTTTCAAACATGACGTGAATATCAACTGCCTTTCTTTCACAAGAAAAGCCTCTCCTAACTTTTGTGTGGCTAAAACAATGCCCAATATTTATCTGTTTTTTCTTGTGTATCCGTACTTCACTATCTTTTGCTAATGTTCTTAAAAGTTTTTTAATGTAACTCTTACTCTTTTCATGATTGTCACCATTGTTACCACACTATGCTAGCTATATAAATATTACTTCAGAAGTTTACATTTTAGAAAAGAAAAGCACATGAATTTTTACCAGATTACTTACTCCTATTTTAGTAAACTGTAGCATGTGAGTAATAGCAAAAACTATCAGTATTTTCCAAAATAAAACATCCAAAAGCTGAACTACTAAAGCATAGAACTAAATGCTGATAGTACTGAAGTAATGTTGGGG